CTCCTACATTTTCATTTCTCAAAAATAAAGAAAAAGATTTGAAGAAAACATGGAAAAATCTTAACACTTAATATGATAGATAGTACTTGATTATTTAGTTTTCTGTGCTTTCTGATATGTTTGAATTATAGTAAAAATTTTATAAGGGGAGAACAGGGATATCTCCTCCTTGGAGACAAGAGAAAGGGAGGTAAGAACTGATGATACTACAGATTGATTTTTTGGCAAGAGGAGAATAGTTAAGGGCACTCTCACACTCAATGGCTAGGATTTCTTCAGTGACTCGTAAGTCAGGCTGTGTGGGGAGTTAGTTGACTTGATTAAGGGTCAGACGAGAAGGAAATGGGTAGGGGAACTGAGTAAGAATAGACGTTGGTAAATGAACTTCAATGAAATGGTCCAGTAAATGGGCCACAAGATAGCACCGGGGGTCCCAGTGAGGTTGAAGTAAATACACAGGAAATAAGCTTGAAATACAGATTTGGAGTATTAGCATTGCTTGTGCCATGGACTTGCTCTACTGATTTCTTCTGCTTGGTGGGTTGACTCTTTGCTTCTATGAGGTACAGGAGAAAAGAGTTTCAGTTTAGTTAAATTCAACTTGATAAAGGTGACAGGCAGGATCCCATTATCAGGTAGGATGTAGCCAAAAATAACCTATAGTTAAATTATGAACTCATGGATTCTTAAAGAGAACTTTAGGTTCAAGTAACTAGAAAAGTGTTTCTTTAGTATCTGTGACTATTGCTCAGGCAACAAGGGATCTCTCTCTCTGTCAGAGATGGAAGGTAATGTAGTCCTTTCCTCAATTCTTTGTTAGGGTCTAAATTTGTACCACTGCCTAGCAGCTGCTCAGTAGTTTTGAATACTTCAAGAAAACAGGGAAAGCATAAAGAAATTACAGCAATCTCATTTTAGGGATCTTAGTTATGGCTCAGGTATCTTAAGATTGTGGCAAAAACTAACGTAGGGGCTCATGCAATGAGGTTCCTTAAGGAGAATTATTTACAAATATATCATCAGTGATCCACTTGTAGATATTGAAGCATCTCAAATAAATAAATCATTATTGTTCTTATCTGACCATCCATGTGGCCATGTCTGGTTATAATAAAAGGATCCTGGGAAACAAACAGGATGGTGCCTTTCATTGTGGAGAAGGGGTGGGCAAACTATGGACTGGCGCTAAATCCAGCCTTTTACCAGTTTTTATAAATCGTGTTTTACTGGAATATGACCATATCTATTTATACATGCATTGTCTCTGGCTGTTTGTGAATTACAAATGGCAGAGTTAAGTGGTTTCAACAGAGATCATATGGACTGCAAAGCCGTATTTGCTGATCACTGCTATAAAGGATGCTAGGTAACCTCTGAAGCAAAAAGGTAATATTACCATCTGGAATTTATGCAATTATTAAGTCTTACTATCAGGAAAAGAGATTATTACTAATAATTTTGATCATACAACCTTAGATATATGTCTGGTACTTTGCATTTTATAATGTACCTTTTTTTTTTTTTTTATATATCTTATATCTATGATCCTTAAAACAATCCTGAGAGTTAGATGTTGTTTCACGGATGAGGAAATTGAGATGGCTCAAGTTAAGTGGTAGAGTCTGTACTTGAATCCATGCCTTTTGACTGATGTCAAAGGATCTTTCTTCTACCCACCAGATGCCGACTTACAGCACTTGTCCCCCCCCAGCCAACAAATCTGTTCTGGTAAGAAATGTTACAGAACTGATCAATTAAAAAAACATTTTAGAGGGCAGCATTTAGGGAGCTAATCACTAGAGCACTCTGAAATCCTTCCAGTGACTAGACTCAATCCAACAAAACACCCTGCATTATAAACTAAATTGAAATATCTCTGGCCATAATTTGTAAACAGCCTGGTTTCTTTTCATAGATTAAACAAAAAAGAATCTAAATGGCAATTAGAGGATTATAAAAGAATTGTAAGTGCTCAACATCAGTGGTCATTAGGGAAACACAAATTAAAACTACAGTGAGATAACACTTCACTAAAATGGCTACAATAAAGAAGACAGACAGTACCTAACAAGTACTGGCACAGGCTTGAAAAAATTGAAATCCTCATACATTGTTGGTGGGAATGTAAAACGGTGCAACCACTTTGGAAAACCGACTGGCAATTCCTCAAAACATTAAACAAAGAGTTACTGTATGTCCTAGCAATTCCATTCCTAGGTATATATTGAAGAGAAGTGAAGACACGTCCACGTAAAAACGTGGACACTAATACTGCAAATGTACTAAATGTCATTGAGTTATTACTTTAAAATGGTTAATTTTATTTAAGAAAAATCAAAAAAGGGGAAAATCTGTAAGCTGATGTTCATAGCAACATTATTCACAACAGCCAAAAAATAGACACAACTCAAGTGTCCAACTGGTGAATGGATGAATACAATGCGGTATATCTACAAAACAGAGTATTTGGCAATCAAAAGGAATCACGTGCTGATACATGCTACAACATGGATGAACCTTGAAAACATGCTAAATGAAAGGAGCCTGACACAGAACACCACATACTGTATGATTCCATTTATATAAAATGTCCAGAAAAGTCAAATCTATAGAGAGAAAGTAGACTGATGGCTGCCAGGAAGTATGGGGAGTACCTTCAAGTGGGCATGAGGTTTATTTTTAGGGTGATGGAAACGTACTAATGGTGGTGACAGCCACACAACTCTGTAAATACGCTAAAAGTCACTCATTTGTACACTTAAATCGGTTACTTTTACAGTATATGAATTATATACCTCAATAAAGCTGTTAAAAACAAAAAGAATGAAAAGGGCTTCCTTGCCAGCCAAATATCGAGAATTACAGACCTACAACCTCATATTTTTAAGGTCGTTAATGACATTATATGTAATTTTTCATGAACAAAGATAAAACAAAGGGAATTTAAAATATATTGGAAAGAAATATAAATCGGACTATATGTCACTGCTGACTGGAAGTTCTACTGGTTATAACCATAGAGTCTGTATTTGACTTTTCATGACCCTCAACTGACGGGGACTGAAAAATCTAGGTGTCTGGGAGAAGCTAAATTGTATCAACAGGGAGCTGGGGCGCCTGGGTGGCTTAGCCGGTTGAGCGTCCGACTTCAGCTCAGGTCATGATCTCGCAGTCCATGGGTTTGAGCCCTGCGTCGGGTTCTGTGCTGACAGCTCAGAGCCTGGAGCCTGTTTCAGATTCTGTGTCTCCCTCTTTCTCTGACCCTCCCCTGTTCATGCTCTCTGTCTCAAAAATAAATAAATGTTAAAAAAAATTAAAAAAAAAAAACAGGGAGCACTGTGCATTTAAAGGACCCTGAAAAGTGCGCCATCAGGAAAGCCATAGTGCGAGTCTACATTCTTCAGCCCACGGTCATGTCATCACCATATGGTGCATACCCGAGTATTTATGGCCTGAATCACACACGGAGCCAGTCTTATCTCAGGCAACCATGTTGTCTGCAGCAACGTAAGATAAAACTGTGTCAATGATAGGAGTGCAGGGTTTAAATGTAGGTTTCCATGTATTGGATATAATCATACTAGGTCAAAGACACTTCGTACCATTTATCTGTTAATGTAGTGTTTATTTTATACAGAAAAGACAGGAATCAACTTCTCTGCATCTGATCTGAAGCAGATGGTGACGCTAAATGCTAAAGTGTTTAAAGGGGGTAATGCTGAATACTTAATGTTACTTTCCTATCTAACTGAAGGATAATGATCTCAGAGTTTGCAAAAGGAGCAGACCCTTTCTGGTCCACTTGAAGTTGGAATGAGACACCTTGCTTGTTATTTTAGTCTCACTCTGCTCCCGCTAAGTAAGGTCACTGGGTACAGTCATTTTTGGTACAGTGATTTGTTAGATACGACAATTATGATTCAAATAAAGGACGTGTCACTGTGGGTTTCACTTCTATATGTCTGATGAACAGGCTTCTCTGGCTGTGCGCTTATATACTGGGAAGAATTTGCTAGGCTCTTGGAGTTGCCCTTAATGCCATTTTCTCTCTGAAGAGCACTGTTTTATCTTTAATAGTATCCCTTGGGGGAAGTCCAACACAGAGAACTATTTAAGATACTAGTATTTCTCAATCCTGAGGCAGGAAGAGCACTCTAAAGAGACTGTGGGGATTGGAGGTAGCAGATGCAATGGCAAACTGTGGGCTAGAAACACCAGGAGAGCAAATTTCTTTCTTGACTTTTGTACTTTATCCCACAACTGTTACTTAGACTATAAGTTCCTTGAAACTAGGGACTAGTATCTTTTTTGCTTTTGTATCCCTAGGACCTAGGACAATGCCCAGGTAAGTGCTGAGGAAACACCCGAACACACGCATACACAAATGGACAAATCCTGTGCCCTCTTCTGGGTCCTCCATTCCAGCCTTGTGGATGTTGAGAGAGGGAAGCGGATGCTATAAAGTTCTTAAATGTTGTGAAACTACCGAGGGAACAACTGGGATTGTAATTTGAATGGCGAACAGAGGAGGTAGCCCAAAGAAAGGTTAATGCTGGCTCCAGATAAACATTTTGAAAATCATAGCACCCAGAATATGAAAAAAAATCTTCATAAAACAATTACAAGAAAACTGAAAGAATAACTGCTCTCAGCGATTTTTTCTTTCTTTTTTTTTTTAAGGCATTGTGAAAATCTGCAACTGATTGCTATAGGACATGGTAGGTCATATATAGAGTACACATATGTATGTGTATATGGCTCTTACCTAAATGATTATACATGTACATGTCCCAAAAAGCCTAGCAATCGGCTAAACTGGGAGAAGACAAATGTCATTCTCTTCCCAAAGGTCTCTGGAGGAACAGGCCATAAATTTTAGGAGATGGAACAGCTTTACAACAAGCAGGGACTATAAGAAAATGACAGTAGCTTCACACACACAGTGTTAAGGAAAGCCTGCTGGTGATGGAAAGAGAAAATTCTTCAACTTTTGTAATTACCTTAAAAATGTGTGCTTTGAGGATGTGATGTCCCAGCTCTATAGTCTGCTGTCGGTTTAGTTTTCCTTCTTGGCGGGAAAACCAGAAAGCAAGTAATGTGTGACCACTCCTGCAAAGAAAAAGAGACTCATTTTAGAATTTTAATGCTCCAGTTCTGTGTTGGTGGGGGACTGTTCAGGTCTAGCCATACCTCCAGGGAAACTCTGTCTCATTCCACCAGTTTCTTAGGGAACAGCACCTGATGCTGGGCAAATAATGGCTATTGAAAGGTTCCTCGCTTTTACCAGTCCTTTACCCAGATCACATGTGTGAATACCACAAAATGTCATTTCTAGTTGGCTTGCACCCATCCCACACACAGATGGCATTAAAAGATTCATTTTTATTTTCTGTCTCTGTGAACTCCTCTTATTTTACCCGTGCTTTAAAATGTCAGTGCTCCTCAGGATCTCCTTTCCGGTCCTAGTCTGTCCTCTCTCCATTAGCTCATCCATCCTGAGAGCCTTCACCACCACCTGTATCTTTTTCTCAATCTAGATTTCCCAGACTTATTCCAATCAATATACATCCAACTGTCTACTGGATTTCTCCACCTGGAGGTCCCGCAGTATCTTAAGCTCAACATGCCCCCAATGGATTAACCACCTCTTGTCCAAGTGAAGTTGTCTTTGATCCGCCTCTACCTTTCCCCCAGCTGAGAAAGGGCAGTACTTTCTTTTTGGTACAAGGCTTATAGACTGTATATCTCTCTAGTACAGTATCTAGCACAGTATTTCTTGCTCTCTCCTCTACTTGACTGTAGGTTTCCTAACAGCTTCCATTCCCCCCATCACCTTGCTAATGGGTCCCTAATCTCTTAAGAGAAAACCCTCTTTTCTGCCTCTGCATGTTGTCTTATCAGCCCATGATACCAGAACTGCCATGGCTCTCTTGCAATCATGTGGGCATCTGGTCAGAGGACAAAGATAACAGAAGGGCTAAACTGAGAGAATTACAGAAAAATAGAGCATAAGCCCTGACTATATGACAATCAGAAGCTGCCTAAAGCTTGGACTTGTTATATGAAGTAATACATTTATTTGTTCAATCCATTTGAGTTGGAATTTTCTATTTCTTCTAGCTCAAAGCATCCTAATGATATATTCCTTTAAGTGTCAATGTATGTGTGTATACGTGTGTGTGTGTGTGTGTGTGCGTGTATTCATATTTATGACGGAAATTCTGAGTTATTTATATTCGCTGGAGTGCCTAACACAGTGTATTGCATGTACAAAATTTTCACTTTTTTTTTTTTTTTTTTTTTTTTTTTTTTTTTTTTTTTTTTTTTAGCTTTTTTATTTTGAGACAGAGAGAGACAGAGCAGAACGTGGGAGGGAGAGAAGAGGAGTATCAGACCGAAGTCAGGCTTCAGTAGCACTCTGATGCCACTCATGACCCAGAGCCCGACGCTGGGCTGGAACTACGCGGATCCATGAGATCAGCTGACCTGAGCTCAAGTCGAATTGAACGGGACACTGATGCCACTGCAGGCTATCTCAAATTTTCACTCTTATGTGGATCCTGAGAAACTTAACAGAAGACCGTGGGGGAGGGGAAGGAAAAAAAAAGTTAGAGGGGGAGAGAGCCAAACCATAGGAGACTCTTAAAAACTGAGAACAAACTGACGGTTGGTGGGGGGTAGGAGGGAGGGGAGGTGGGTGATGGGCATTGAGGAGGGTACCTGTTGGGATGAGCACTGGGTGTTGTATGGTAACCAATTTGACAATAAATTTCATATTAAAAAAAATTCTCAATACAATTTTTTGGAAGCAAAGCACATCTTTGGGATGTGCCTTCTTGCCACATTTGCTCTGGCCTGTGGGAGCCGTGGACACTTAGAACTGTCTCTCTTCACCCCCACCAGGCTACTGGTTAGTAGAATTCTTTACGCCACTGGTAACAAAACTCTTCTATTCCTTTCACTTGGAGTATCATAGAAGAGGGAAATTAAATCATTATCTCAGCTTCAAGCCTAATAAATTAACCAAAAAGAAGGAAACAGCAAGTAAATTTTCATTGATGATGCTTCCCTGAGAAGTGGCCCAAATATCTACTGGATGGTTTTCTCTTGTGTTGAACGTTGGCTACTCTGCCAGGTTTAACATCTGGAGAGACCTCATACTAAGTCTGAAAAACAAATGCATTTTTAATTTCTTCTTTGATTTTTTTTAAGCTTCAGTAAAGAATCTCAATAATAGGGTATGGGCTAACTCCCATCTTACAGAGGAATCATTATCGAGAGATTTCATTCCAAAAAGACTTTAAAAAGAACTTTTACCATGTTCTAACCTTGAACTTCAAGAATTTCTGAATTCTAGTGGATACCGTGCCAACTTACTTGACTGGATAAGATTAACCATAACAGAAAGGAAGTTATTTAGTTAAAAGAGTGTCTCAGAGAAGTGTAGCCTGCATGGAATCATCAGTATCATCTGTAGGTATGAGCTCAGATTGTTTCACATTCACAAAACCTGGAAATTGCTACTGAATTTTTATTTATCCTTAGAAAGCCCAATTTAGTTGGTAGGCTATTTTAATAGGGTACAGGTTAAGTGAGAATGACATGAAACATTTATTTTTTTATTTATTTATTTTTTTTAAATTTTTTTTTTCAACGTTTATTTTTATTTTTGGGACAGAGAGAGACAGAGCATGAACGGGGGAGGGGCAGAGAGAGAGGGAGACACAGAATCGGAAACAGGCTCCAGGCTCCGAGCCATCAGCCCAGAGCCCGACGCGGGGCTCGAACTCACGGACCGCGAGATCGTGACCTGGCTGAAGTCGGACGCTTAACCGACTGCGCCACCCAGGCGCCCCGACATGAAACATTTATAAAGAGCCCTATCTCAAGTTCTCAAAACCCTATCCAGTTATTAACATTGAAATTATTGCAGCCTCTCTGGTGTAAGAATTATTACTTTGACTCATCCGTAGACTCATCTACATAGTACTAGGACCCTTGAATACAGGCCTCTGACCTACTCCCGATGCTTCAGGCCATTAATGAGAAACCATGCCCATCAGGGGTAAGATTAAAAAAAAACAACTCACATCTGAGAAGGAAACGGATTAGACACAGAATCGACATTGCCCTCGTGCTTTAATTTTACTACCATAACTGAGAAATCCTGGTAAGATGTTTGCATTAGTATGCATTTCAGCTAGCTAGAGATGACAATGCTTCCTTTTGCTGTTATTGATCTGGCATCGAGGAGAACCAGCAAGCAATACAGGTCAAGGAAAGGATGAAGGTGACAACGGTAATTCGTTTCTTTTTTGACACAAGCATATCCCATTATTCACAAAAATGGTTCTGAACAGTTCGCTGGACACAGAGTTTATAGTGTTCAGGACACGAAGGATAATAGCAATTTATATTATATGCTGGCATTTCCATTTATCCCTTACTGTTCTGATAAGGTGTGGTGCCACTGGCTAACCTACAGTCTGAATGTGTTACACTACACATGTCTGTGTTTATTGCTATTTTTCTAATTATTTGTTCACTCTCAAACCTTACTCCTTTTGACTCCTAGCCTCACCATTCTCTAAGATCACCAGCGGCCTCTTCATTGGTTGCCTTTTAGCCTTTGAGTTTTGTCTTTTTCTTTTTCTCCCCTCCAGCATCAGGCCCTATTAACTACCTCCCCTGGAACTCTCTTCTGACATCTGTGACACCACCCTGACACTTCAGCTCCCATTTCCTTCCATGATGTAACTTCTCTGCTTTATTTTCCATTTCCTCTCATATCATAGGTCTCCTGGCTCCAGCTCTCACTGCAGTGAGATCTCCAGCACAGACATATTGTTTTGCTTCTCTAACTGCCTGCTGGATCCTTCTACCTTCAAATGATAATTCAAATGACCTGTCATATGACATTATTTGAAGCTTTCCCTCAAATCCAAATCCCTTTAAGATTTATTTTTTAATATACTGCCAATCACTCAGACATAAAATCTAGCAGGTGTTTTCTCCTCTCTTTATACTTTCTCTCTTGGACAATTGCAAGAGCCTCATTCTTCCCACTGCCTGCTCCTTGGCCCATGCCAATAATCTTACAGTGCAGAAACCTGGTAAAAATGCTGCACAAAATTCTTCAGTGGATTTATACTTCCTCCTAGACAGAATCTAAACTCCTTAGCATGGTATTCATGGTATAACATGGTATAACTTGTCCCACATCTATTTCTCTGTTTTTACCTCCTTACCTTGTGCCTCTAATTTCAGACAGAGTAAATTATTTTAGGGTTTCAAATGTACTTTCCCTCCGCCTGGAATTCCCTTCCCTGTTTAGTTCATCAGGCCAACTATTTCTCCTTCCTGAAGTCTCAGTTCACAGCATCTCCTCTGTGAAGTCTTCCCTGGTCCCACCAGATGCCCCAGGGGCTCTTCCCTTAGAGTCTTGTTGGTACACACCTCCATCACACCTGCTGCAGCACGCTGTCTGCATGCCAGTCTTCCTGCGAGACTGTATGGAGGCTGGAAGCCGTGTTGTCTCCAATATGTACTCTTAGGTAATAGGAACACATATTTAAAGAAGATTGAATTCGTAATACTGTGAAGTTGCACACTACCTTGTGGTTTTAAAAATACTTTAATGCTTTCTTAGATTCTCACAAACACCTAGGACTAAATATTACTCCTAATATTATGGTGGAAGACTGAGACTTGGCAAGACTGAAGGACAGCTCCCAGCTCACAATGCTGGGATATAAAAGAGCTGGGATGAGAACCCAGGGTTTTCTGAAACCTAGTTCTGTTAGCACACTGACGAGATTAGCAACTTGGTTTTCATTCGTGTGAAAAACGGGCATATTTGTGTGAAGAAGTCAACCAATGTAAAGAGCAATGTATTCATTTGTACGGTATAAACTCTGAATCCTTAACATAATTAAAATCAACAATTAATTTTGACATTTTTTGATTGGCATTTTGGGAGAGACTAGCTAAGAAATAGAGGGAGCTCTCATCAGTGTGACATGATTTTATGCACGACTGAACACAACTGCGTTTTCCCTCTACAATTAAAGATGATGCTAATCAAAGTCAACTTTATGTGGGTTCAAATG